ATTATTATTATTATTATTATTATTATTATTATTATTATTAATATTATTATTATTATTATTATTATTCTGTCTGGTGGCCATTTCCTCAAAACACTGTAATTTCAAATGCTAATTAATAGTTATCAAGTTGTTTTAATGGTTTGTCAAGAGCCAGCTGACAATATATTAATTATTGATCTAAAATAATAGCAGAACCACAGAATGATTTGAAACTAATACCGCTAATAAATTACGTGGAAATATAGAGAAATTATGGTACAGTAGTGTTTCTTAATTTTTTTCCTACAACAAAAGTCCACGCATAAAAACAAATTTCTGTCTATTCGCTTTCTCTTTCTCTGGGATTTTGTTATTTAAAAAAAAAGAGATGAATAGAGATGCATGTACATGTATTCTTGCAGGGTCAAATGAGTGAAACAAAAGTTGGGTTTTGTTTCCAAGGCAGAAAATTTAATTAAATGGATTAAGTTTTGTGTTTTCTGAGGTATATTTTTAGGTACCTTTATCAAAAATATTTGCATTCTTATTTTAAAGTGAGCACGCTGTTTTTTGTCAATTTAAAAAAGAAAACATATTACACTATAAATCATCCCTTGAGTCAATCAATTAAAAATAGAAAATAAGATTTGTTATGATTATTCAGTGTATTTAAACTCAATGCTTCATTTAAGAGGATTAGAAACAGTAGAAAATTCAGGATATAATCTGAGAAAAACTCAAGTGTTCAAATTTACTCAAACTCAAATTTACTGGTGTAAAATCGATGTTGTTTCATGTTATTTCAGTAAATGATGCTCAATTTTACTGTCTCAAATTTTTTTTTTTTTTGAAATTATTTTGTTTTGTTTTCTTAATCTTAAACAAAACAATACAAGGGATTTACACGGCATATAAAATTTGATTTTCTTAAACGATTATAAACTGTGTCTAAGAATAGGTACTTGTATTGATCATCAGCTTATCTTGTTTGTCAGTTACTTAGGTAACGCTATAGAAGGCGACAACGATTTAATTTAAGTAAGATGAGTTTTCAACCAAAGTTTGTCAATGTAATTATGTTGTAACAACACTCTAGATCAATGTAATTAATTGGATGGAGAGGAAGAGAGTAATGTTTTTTAGATAATATATCAAACCCATCAAAGAGTGTTTTATCTGATTTTTGGATTTTCAAACACCACAGGAAAAAAACCCAATTCCCAAATTGGGAATTTGTTGGGAACTTCCTTGAATTCCCAAGGAATTCCCATCCAATTCACAGAGAGAACGAAATTGGGAACGTGGCACTGATTCCCAATGTTAGTTTGTTGGGAATTTTGTTTTTCTATTGGGTATTAGAAGAAAATTCCCAACAATAAATCCCAACGTTGGTGTTCAAATTGGGAATTCAAGGAAATTCCCAATTCGGGAATCCGGTTTTTTTTCCTGTTAGAAGTGAGTTGAAAAAATGATGGGGAGCCGAGTTTTTTTAAACCAACTTTGTGGTGTTTGGATAAAGGATGAAACACTCTTTCAAGTGCTTGATATGTCTTCTCAAACTATTAATGATGTTTGTAGAAATTCAAAGCATAAGTTGCCCCAATTTTCTTCTGATCAAGAGCAAATTTTTCAAACCTCATGAATTATTAATGATTTTAAGAAGTACATTTTTATATCCCACATTTTAAAAAAATCCTCTTTAAATGCAGCAATTCTAGTTTATAATTCTTTGTTGCTGTCGCTCAATGCTAGCTTCAGCGCTCCAGTAAAAGTATAGATTTCAAAGTGTTTATATTGTCGAAGCTGTGCCTTTTTTTACTTTGTCGTTGGTATTTGTGGATATTTTGACACTAAAATGAGGACAAATCTAGCAAGTTAAAACCTAGGAAAAGTTTAAAAGAAATTCTTATTAAAATAATTATTTTTTAATATTAAAATATATTATAATAATGATAATTATAATATTGTTATAATTGTTTTTTTCTGATGCCAGATCAGTAGAACCATGATTAGACAGACTGATAGATAGGATGCACATTATGGCAAGTATAGTCAGGTAAAGTAGCACAGGTAAAGGTAGAGTAAGGTAAATGTTTACGATAGGTACATAGAATATATAAGTTAGAACCTATTCAAGGTTTTCAATTATAATATACTCTTGAAACTGATATGAATATTTATAACTTTAAATTCAAATTTGTTACCTTTATTTGTGATGTGACCTCAAAGCAGCTCAATTTGGATGACAAAACCTCTCCTGAGAATTGGAAACCTATTGTTAGGTCCTCCAAATTGATCTGTATTTCGATGTACTGCAAGGGGTCTATTATATCTTTGTTGATTGTGGCAACATTTAAAAGAAATTGCTCACTGCTTGAATGAAGAAAGGCGATGTCATTTTTAAAAATATTTTATTCATTTTTACAGTACGAGAAGCCAAGAACCTTATTCCAATGGATGTCAATGGTTTTTCTGATCCTTACGTCAAGGTGAAGTTACTACCAGACCCTGAAAGCAGTAGCAAGAAAAAGACCAAGACGATTAAGAAAACCCTCAATCCTGTCTACAATGAGTCTTTTGACTTGTAAGTATAGAGGGTGGGGAGGGTAGGTGCTATTAACTATTAAGAAAACCCTTAATCCTGTCTACAATGAGTCTTTTGACTTGTAAGGATAGGTCTCTCTCTAAGGTTGAGTGGGAAACTGGTAATCAGTAGGACCCACACTGCATCATGGGGCTGTTTGGGGGACACTTTTTTTGATATGTTAGAAAACTCAGCAAGAGACAGGTCATCCAACTGGCTTAAAGTCAACCCATGACCCAGAATATATTAAAACAATATCCAATGTCATTATTTCAGTAAAATCCAGCCAAAAGACAAAGATCGGCGTCTGTCTGTCGAGGTGTGGGACTGGGACAGAACATCTAGAAATGACTTCATGGGCTCCCTGTCGTTTGGTGTCTCTGAGCTGCTGAAGCAAGGTGTTGAAGGCTGGTTCAAGCTGTTAAGTCAAGAGGAGGGAGAGTATTATAACATTCCCATCAATGAGGATGTAGGTCAGGCTGTGTCTGAACTGCAGAGGAAATTCAAGGTGAGTTTGTTATCTCTTGACGTGATTGTAAAAGAAAGAAAGAAATAAACCTTCATCAAATCTCCTTTCCTTCTCTCTTGCTGATTGGTTATTGGGTTCATACACAACCACTAAAACCATTAAGTAGCTCTCTGATTGGCACTTCACTTCTGCACATTTGATTGGTTTGTACGGAGCTCTCTTATTGGTTCTTCACTCCTGGGCATTTGATTGGTTTAGAGGAAAACACAATTAAGTGCAAAGCGAGTAAATTTGAGTGCAGCAACTAAACATATAAAAGATGCTTCCTGATTGGTTCTTTACTCCAGCGCATATAATTGGTTCAAAGCATAAGCCAATTAGGAGTCATCCTGTCAAATGGCCAAACAATATACCATCCTGATGGGTTGTTTTCTGTTGTAGTATTTGAAGACCCAGCTGGAAGAAGAAGAACAGCGCTACCAAGCAAAGAAGGATCTTGTGGCTGATCCCAATGCTAAAAAGTTTAGACCTGAAGATTTTCATTTTCTAAAAGTTTTAGGCAAAGGCAGCTTTGGAAAGGTAAAACGATTTTTATTTTGGGGGACTCCTGTGTTCGTTGTGTAGTTTTTAGAAAAAGGAGGTCTTGTCCTTTCCCTGCTAGCAGAGCCTATTTTCCTTTTGTTTTGGTTGAGAGAGAAAAATAGACTCTGCCGATATAGGACGTTATTTTTGTCGCGCATGTGTGGCGTAACTTAGCAACGCTGTCATGGTTTTGACAGCCGCTCTCGTCAAACAATGTTTGGCGTCACGGTGTGTTTCATTTGCTCATGCGCAATACATGTAATCGGTTAAAAACCGGTTTTAAAACTGGTTTTGTTCGTCCACGATCATGGACGGCGGTGTATCAAAGGAAACGCTCTACATCGGCAGTCTTCTTCCTCCCCGCCTGAAAGAAGGGAGAGAAAGAGAAGAGAGACTCTGCTAGCAGGGAATCTTGTCCTCTGTCTCTCTCATGAAATTTACTATAGACATAGGGATCCTAAGCCGAACCCTGATTACTGTTTGGGAAAGGCAGAAGTGGCCTATGGAAAGAGCGTGGGTTAAGCTTGAGTAGGTCTCTTCATCAGTCTCTCTCGTCAATTGTTAGACATAGGAACCCCAAGCCAAAAAGTGCATTGTCATTTTTCTCTTGTGTTTTTAGGTCATGCTTGCAGAAAGAAAGAATACAGACGAGGTATATGCCATCAAAGTGTTAAAAAAAGACATTATAGTTCAAGACGATGACATTGAGTGTACCATGACAGAGAAGCGAGTGTTGGCCTTGCTGGGAAAGCCGCCATTCCTTACCTCTTTGTTCTGCTGTTTTCAGTCAATGGTGAGTAAACTGAATAAAACGCCTGTGCCCATACCATTAGTAAGAGCGTCGGTCTGCTGTGCAGGAGGTCGTGGTTTTGGGAAATCTCATAATCACCGCTCCATCTGTGATTATCGTCTCAGAATCACCGGTCGCTCGACCAATCACAGCGCGAGAAACTCTATATTCAAGTCTACAATTATACTAAAACTAATTATTTTTTCAGGATCGATTATATTTTGTGATGGAGTTTGTCAATGGAGGAGATTTGATGTTTCATATTCAACAGGCTGGTCGCTTCAAGGAACCTCAAGCAGTGTATGTGTATTGTTCATGTATTAGCCATCATTTAACCACTTCTATTATCAGTAGAATATCCAAAACAAAGGATTTAAAGCAAAAAGAAAAAAAATGGGACTTACTCATACGACACACTTTTTTATTGTCTGGCCTGACTCAATAAAATAGGCTAATGGTCCATTTGGTTTTTATCTTTTAGGTTTTATGCTGCAGAGATCGTTATAGGACTGTTATTTTTACACAAGAGAGGAATAGTTTACAGGTAATAACTTTTCACAAAGGGAATTCAAGTTTTGCGTGACAATTGTCATGTGTCACACAATAACGTAACACGACATGTCATGTCACAACATGACCTAAAAGAAAGGTCATGTGAAATATGGCGTTAACCAACAACCACAAAACAAATGGTACAAATTGCGTTGAAGCCATTCACATAAGCTAAAGGTCACATCGGTGACGTCAGTGGTAGCCAGTGACTTAAACTAGTCACGTGTTACATGTGACGTGGGTAGTCAGTGACTTAAACTAGTCACGTGTTACATGNCAGTGACTTAAACTAGTCACGTGTTACATGTGACGTGGGTAGTCAGTGACTTAAACTAGTCACGTGTTACATGAGACGTGGGTAGTCAGTGACTTATACTAGTCACGTATTACATGTGACGTGGGTAGTCAGTGACGTATAGTAAATGTTTCCTAACTATCGATGGTTATTTTTCAGGGATTTGAAGCTGGATAACGTGATGTTAGATAGCGATGGTCACATCAAGATTGCTGATTTTGGGATGTGTAAAGAAAGCATGGGAGATGGCAAGACCACTCGAACATTCTGTGGGACACCCGATTACATCGCACCAGAGGTAATGGATAGAGACAGGACAGAAGTATCTAGGGGAGGAGTGGGAACGGGGTATTGTTCAATCAATCCAAAGTATCACTACAAGGGTAGTGAGGGTAGAGCCATTGGATTTTCCTGACCACAGGCTCTTGAGGGGGTGGGGGTGGGGGTAGGTGTGGATAAATGAGAAATGGGATATTTACCGTATCTCCTGCCCCCCTAGACTCTGTTCATAACCTGCTTCACCCACAGCACACACACTGAACAAACACCCACACTACAGGATCTTGAGGGGGTGGGGGGTGGGGGTAGGTGTGGGTAAATGAGAAATGGGATATTTACCGTATCTCCTGTCCCCCTAGACTTTGTTTATAACCTGCTTCACCCACAGCACACACACTGAACAAACACCCACACTACAGGACCATGAATATTTGTGCTTTATCTCAGATCGTAGCATATCAACCCTATGGTTACTCTGTGGATTGGTGGGCACTGGGCGTCTTGATCTACGAGATGTTAGCTGGACAGGTACGTCTATATATCATTCGAGGTTATTAATGATTAGTAATGGTATGTTTTGTTTTTGGAGAACAACTCGTGATTACAAGCGTACACTCTTGACAAACATCGATATTTGTGCGCGCGCGTTATACTAAGTGTCCCTAAGGGAGGATTTGCGCGCGCATATTTTATGAGAAATTCCGCTGGATATTATAACTGACGGCTACAATTGTAGGTAGACCCGAATATAAGAGCCCGCTTACATTGGCTTATCTGAGCTTTGTAAGGTTTGCGCATGTGCGCTTCCCTTGAAGTGATCACGTGACTAGCTTAAAATAGCCCTTGTGATCAAGCAATCTATTTTTATTCATATGTTTTCGCATCTCTTTTAGCCTCCGTTCGATGGCGATGACGAAGACGAACTGTTCAATTCTATTTTAGAACACAATGTTTCTTATCCCAAATCCATGTCTAAAGAATCCGTGTCTATTATCAAAGGGGTAGGTGGACTGTGGTAACTTACAGTATACAGATACAGTCA